CATTCTAATAGCGGGATTTGACGGGTTTACGGTAGGCCTATACAAAAGATCTCTTGCGGTTTCTAGTGTTAAGTTAATTAAGGTACAGGGGGGGGGGAGAAGCCCTTTCTTTATCAGTAACGAATTTGCAGTTGAACAAAAAGTCAACTAACTAGGGTCACTTGCAATGCGTGTTGTGTCTAACTGTAGTAAGCTTGTCACTCAGATGTAACCTACGTTAAATTTAGCTGCTGGAGAAGAAAGATCAGGGGGGAGGGGGGGAGGAGAGCTGTGGTTGATGGGCCCATTAGTTGTGTAAAATACACAGCTGGGAGCTGCCGTTTCATTCAGACTGTTTAAAAAAACGGTAACAACGGATATATTTTCAAGATCAAGGATCAGGATCTAGGATCCCTCCGCTACACTTTGGATCCTGATCTGCCGACGAGGCTCCTTAAAAATATAAATATCTTTAGTGAATTACTGAGTTAGGCACGTCTAATAAGTTTTAATGAAGTTGATCACAGTATATTCATATTTGTCAGTGATTCATGGTCTATACCAACCTTGACTGTCTAATGTACTTTAGGGAATATGTCCATTATCTCTATCAACATTGAGTGGACAATATGTGTGCAAATGTTTATTGTCATTGAACATAACAATATTCCATGTATTAAACACAACAACCTGCTGAACATTACAATATTCGCCTTAATCACTGAACCTCTCTTCTCGTGTGTGTGTGTGTGTGTGTGTGTGTGTGTGTGTGTGTGGTGTGTGCGTGGTGCGTGCGTGTGTGCGTGCATGGTTGTGTGTGTGTGGTGTGTAGAGGTGTGTGGTTAAAACACTTTCATGAAGTGAAGGAGGTTTTTCCTTCTATAAAACAGCTGGGCAGCAGTGAGTGTCACGGACATGAATTCATAGATCAAGGCAGACTGGTGCACACACTCTCCTGTCCTGCCAGGCGACACGCCCGTTCTAAGCCGTGTCCCTCACTCCTCACATCCCAAGCTGCATCCCCACCAGTGTATTATGTTGTTACATCGTTTCAGATGTTATGTTTCAGTTGTGCTCTGTCTATGTTCAGTGATGCAAACTTGTCCCCTTTCGGCGAAATTCGCCGTTTTGAATCCAAATTAGGTCGTTTGTGTGATTCATGTAGATCTGCAATAAAAATATTTTTGGGGTATGGGGGGGTCTGGGACCCGGAGTAATCTGCGGCCTTGAGCTGTTCCATCATGACACGCATGGTGTTCTTTTTTTATATATTATAATGAAGTGCGAGCTGTGTGCTCGAGAATTCCTGTCTGTCGGCTCTGCTCTCATGGATGTATAATAAGGCTCTGCTGCTCCGAGATGATGGTCTAGCTTCAGCAGCTACATTACCTACGGGTGCGTTCGTTAATATTAACTGTGCGTCCGGAGTCACTGTGGAACAGACTGGACCGCTGGTGAACAGCTGTTAGAACGGGCCGTTCAGGTGTTCAGAGCAGAGCTCCCTGTCCAACCCAGTCTCATGGCATTTCGTGTTCACCAACACGATTTTTAATCTATTGACTCGTGTTCACCAACACGATTTTCCCATTTTTTTCGTGTTGCACAGCACGATTTTAAAAGCAATGTATTTCTGTTGGTAGTCTCACGGCATTACGTGTTATAGGAAGACCGGAAGCTGTGTGTTTCATTGTAACGACGAGACGCCGTTACTGCTATTTATTAAATGGCATTAATTATATAAGTGTTCACCCCTCATCTTGTCTGTTGTTTCCGGTCGTATCTGTGTTCCCTCCTGCTGATTATCCGATTGTGTTCACCTGGTGCCCTGTGTTTGCTCCTCCCCTCACCTGTGTCTAATTGCTCCCCCCTCACCTGTGTCTTGTTAGTCTGTGTGTGTATTTAAGTGCTGTTTCTTGTTGGGCTGGTAGTGTGTGTGAGATCCTGGTGGCTGCAGGCTGGGCTCGTGTGAACAGCAGCAGGATTGAGGCTGTGTGAACTTTGTGCACATTGTTTTAATAAATGCCCACGTCGGGTTATATTTTTGGACGTTCTGCCTCTGCCTCCTTGCTTGGTCGGGCCGCTCAACGGTCAGTCTCACACCCATTGTTTATTTTGAACACTCTTTTGGGGACATTTTTGTTGTTTTTATTATTTGTTGTTGGTACAGTAAATGATTGGATTCATGTTTGTGCTATTTCCTTTGATATAAAAGTTACAAGAAACAAGTCAATTAAGGCTGGTTGCAGTGTTCTTCACATATTTGCAATGCTATGGATTTTGAAACACATTAGGGAAGTATTTGCTGTATGTATGTCTAAACTTGGTTCAAGTGTATCTTTGGCCATTTCTGAACACAGAGGAAGATAATAGGCTGTTGTTGTTCTCAGAAATACTTCCCCTGTGTCCATGGAAACTGTGTGAAACGGGGCGATGGTCAATCTGCTGGACCGGCACACACGCAGAGCAGTATGCTTTGAGTGTTTAAGTCTGTGTTAGCTTATGCT